GGGGGCCAAGGAGGGGCGCACAAATTTTCATTTCGGTCACACAAATTCACTCTAATCGCGCACTAATTTTTGGTAAAAAAAAATTCCCGAAAAGTAGGTTTTTTACACTTAGGGGGGGCCGGAGAACATTTCTTCAGCCCCCCCAAAGATTTTTTGGATTTGTCCAAAATCCTTTATCGCACAAATTTTGAAAATGTTCGCACAAATTTACACAAATTACACACTAATTATTGGTGAATAATAAACAAAGGTTTTCAAACTTGGAGGGGCTGGTGAAATGTACGTTATGTTGTGTACTGCACACGTGTGTAGCACACACTAACGTATTACCGACTTCAACCGTAATAGTAGGTTTACTCACCCATACAAAAATACAATGCAAGGCCTTTTACCAGATATAATAATAATGGTTATTAGATGACATGTAGTGCCCGGGACTAGTTAGCTACCATGATTGAGTCTAATTTTAAACTCCAGTGTTTAATTTGGATACTATKATATTATATTATAATATAGGTATCGTACTGTATCATCATATGATTTCTCCCTAATATTTTAATCATAAAAATATTTTTTAACAAATACTATTTTATTTTTCCATGTGATTTAAAAAATTTGTTTACCTATATGAATTACATACTTAAGTACTACAGTTGCATAATATATTCTAGTCAGGGTATATGAAATAAGTTTTAGGTATTTACTATTATGATTTATTATATCCAATATGGCAATATATCCATACAATTCTTTATCGTTTCAAAATTCATTATTGGGGATAGTTGGACTATACTATGATCAAACATGATGTGAGCAAATATATTTTCTAAGTGTTATTATACAAGTATTAATATTAATTTCTATAGATAATTCGAAAATAACTGTAAGTATGGAAATTAATTAACTATCTAATAATAAATTACAAATATATTTGTTTTATTTTAATACTTTATGTTATATAAAGAATAATTTATTTTTATTTACTTGAATATTACAAAACTGAGATCAAATGTAATACCGATTTGATTTAAAAATATAGACATATATAATATACGTTAGGTACCTGAAGTTTATAGGTTTTATTATTTTTATTTATAAGGATAAGTAGGCAGTTTATGAGTTATTAAGTTTTTCAACGTAATTATACTTGAAAATTCGTAAAAATAAATAGGTGTCGCTGAATAGGGATAAATAATAATTATGTATTTGGTTATAAACCATCGTCAGGGAAAATGTATTGGTTTAATAATTTATTTTTAGTTGTATTCGTTTACCTATTACTCATTAACACATGGGTAATTGAAATTAATTGTGTAGCTTATGTCATTATATACTGATGCAACTAGTAAAAACGTAGTTTGAGCTTTAAAGTCATAAAACTCAATAATGTAGACTCGTAGTATATTACCACAATACCACATAATACGTAAAATTGCTATCCTCTCAAGTAATAGTGACATAACTATAGMYGCRCAACACCTTCAAGAACATTTAAATCTTATAGATAACTGGGCCAATAACTGGATGATTAGTATAAACGAGAGTAAATCTTCCCAAGTCACTTTCGCTCTACGCCCTGGCATTTGCCCTAC